GTGTACGGGCTCCGCCTATCACTCAAGTAGCCTTGAAACGCACCCACAACTTTTCCCTCGACCCTCCTTTTTTTTTTTTTGTTTTTTTTTTTTTTCGCGCTTTCGCCCCCCGACAATTTTGCATGCCGCCGTTCACCCAGCGTCCGCTTTTGTCGGATGAACCTTCTTCGTGTTGACCCGCGATTTTTCTAGCGTTCGATGAAGGCGCGAACACAATCGTAGCCGGGGTGAGTTTATCGTATCAAACGCCCGTCCGGCCGCTTCGCTGCCCACCGTGCCTATCGCACTTAAAACTCCACAGCTTCGGGAACTCCATCTTCGCCGCTACACCGCCCTTGGGTAGACCGTTGAATCGGGAGAAACACCGCCAGCTGCCACAATTTTTTCAGTCCCGACTTTTTCGGCAAGAGAAAACGTTGCCGATGGTCTGGTTTTGTCGGGGCCGAAAACAGTGTCGCTTGAAGATTTTCTTGAACGCCCTGCCGTCGAACCAGCGCCACCCACGCCTTTCTAACCAGCACAGGGCTAAAACACAGGGCCCCACCTTTTTATCCAGAAGCCAACAGGACTTACGAATTGCCTTCAAGGCTTTTCTGGTGTGAGGTATGTGAAACCTCGGTAGACTTGGCCGGTAGGGAGCTCCTTCTGCTACCGCCGCTTAGCCGTGAGACTCGGCCTCAGCAAAAGTCGTCGCTGTAGGTCGTTTTTTTTCTCGCCTCCTGAAGTCGGAACCCGTTTCTCTCGCCGGACCCGTATTAGTCGCAACTCCGTTTATTGTAGCCGGTAGAGCCCCCGAAAATTCGCGGGTCTAAACGCTGCGCCGAATCGTTGTTCCGTGGTGTACTGGGCTGTCTGCAAACACAGGTACCTCTGGCCGAAGGGAACTGTGCCGCGTGAAGTGCAGAATCGGCTGCCACTGTTGCTCCGAAACTTTCGCCGATAAACATTGTGCCAGAAACAGTAGTCACCCAAGCCAGAACAGTCTGGTCATAGGCGGCCTTTTCCGAACTTTTCGGTGGTTTGAAGAACAACTTCCGTCCCACACTGTGCCGCTCTGCCGAAAAACGCCCACGACGCACCCTCCTGCAGCAACACCTGCTGCACCCGGGCGGGACGACGGTAGAGACCCCCGCTTTCTTCGGGCAGTCGCCACGCCGCCTCTCCTCGCCGTCGGTTTTTCCGACGCAAATCACACATTGCGCCTGGCTGCTCGACCAGCAGTCGTTTTCCACGTGCTGCTACCCAAAATCTTCGCGCACAGTGACGACGCGCCACTTGCCGAAGACTTCCACTAGCTCGTGCGCAACGTGACGAAGACGCCCATCGCCACTTGCCCCACGCGGCTAGCTCCGAAATTGTCGCGCGCAGTTGTCGACCACGAGCCGACGCAACTCGCACGACGCCTTGCTTCCGACATCTTCGGAAGTGTACTGACGGAGATCCTGTCGACGTCAGCTGCCACACAAATTAATTCCGAAAACGCCGAAACGTACACAGTTAACTCACGCATTAAATGCGACGACAGCAAAAGCTGTCCGCCACCCGGGAGGAGGGAGGCCACGGTCCATCTCGACCGTCGAGGGCAAGGATCCGTCGTGCAGCAGGAGCGCCCGTAAAAACATGGCCGCTAGGAGCAACTATCCGTTCTCCTGGCCGGCTACTGCGCTGCTCCTGTCACCACGGCATCCTTCCCTGTCCCCCCCCCTGGAGGAGTAATACACTCTAAAAAACGGGGAAGCTAGGAAAGTAGCTCTGATACCAAGTGTTATGAGTTTTACTAGACAGAGTGCGCGGAAGACTTTATAAAGAAGACGTGATTACAGAATGACGAAACAATGAAGAAAGCGAGAATATATAGGGCGAAAACTAGCTAGGCGAGAACCTCCAGATGTGCGTGGCTCGGAAATGTCGCGATTGGTGCGGGGCGACTCGGAATTGGCTCGGTGCGAAAGTGTAGGACGAGCCATCCTGACGCTAAGTGCTCGGGCTGTTCTCGCTAGGAGCAGCCTCTACAGTAATGAACTGCATATTCATTACAGTGTCCCTCCTACTCTCATTACAGAAATGCTGTACTATACCAATAGCCTGCAGACATCCTCATTAGAGATATGCAGCGCAAGCCGTGCAACATCCTAATCAGCCAAACTCCCCTTTATGTGAGTTATTCTTAGGTAACAGAATCGCACTGCTCACAATATCCACCATATTTTTCAATTATTTTTCCTACTGGCTAACTCTCTCCGACAATAGACCACTAGGGTCTCCTTGCCCCTTGGGAGTATGAGACGAATCGAACAGCTATCTATAACTAGTAAATGAGCTCCTTGTAGATAGGGTCCACGCTCTCCCCCCACCTGCCATGGTATGCCTCCAACATGCGCTCTGCAGGAGTCACACCTGCCGGGAGAGATGTGATGAACAAGAAAAACATATTGAAAGTGGCAATGCGGAAAGTGGCATTTGGCGGGACACATGTTTCAAAACTGCATGTAGTGGCAAATTCCATGGGACGGTATGGCCTGGCACAGTGAGCGGGAATTAACAGTTTGGAGTTGCCCTGAAACAAGGGTGTTAGTCACATCGGACGACATGAGTCACGACCGAACAAATGACATACACGAACGGAGCATGATGGTTGACGTCATCGAGCATGAACAGGATAAGGGCAACCACATCCTGTACACCCAAATAATACCCCAAAAAAGGGACATTACCTGTAGCAGCGATGTTCTCCAGCTCCTTGAGGAAATTGCCTTCCCTGTACCCTCGTCTTTGCAATCCGTCCTGAAAAAGGAAACACAGACACATCCAGATAAACACGCAGAGCAGACACAGGCCACAGCCACTCCAGCCAGGGCGTACATTTTAGCCTTGGATACGCAATGCGCAATGGAAGCCTTGGTTGGAGTTTTGCTGGTTAGTCAAAGAACCCTGTTCATTCCAACTCACTCTGCTGATTCTGACAAGGTCCTGTGCCAGGTGCTGCAGCAGCCCCTCCCTGAAGGGCGTCTTGAGGGCCATGCGGGGCACCTGAATACAGCCGATGGGACAGATGAGAGGAGCAGGAAAAAATGAAAGAAAGAAAGAAAGAAAGAAAGAAAGAAAGAAAAAACACCAAGTGGGGAGGAAGGGGTTATTTAGCTCCTGATATGCGGTGCAGCTTGAGGGCAGACAGGTGGAGAGGCTAAGGGAGTGGAGGGGGGAGGGGAGGGAAGGGCGAACAGCAGAGGGGGATGACAAGGACGGGAGAACGATGGAAACTTGAAGCACGTCACGAGGGAGGGAAAGGAGAGATGGCATGGAAGAGGGCAGAGGGGGGAGGAGGGAAGTCAAAAGGCTTTTTGAGGGTTATGCATGCAAGGAGAAGATTGGGCAGACGGGCGGAAGGAGGGAGAGGTTGGGACTTGCGAATGTGTGGGGAGAGGGAGACCAAACAGAGGAGGAAGTTCACAAGAGGAGGTGAGAGGCGGGGGGAGGGGATAAGGAAGAAAAGGGGGAGCAGAGGGAGAGAGTATCAGGAACCTGCCATGTTGGTGTATTCGCACGCATCACACGGTTTCATGACTCACACACACACGGAGGAAAAGTGAGCTTCAAGCCTCAGCGAGACTCACATCACAAGGGTGTGTGTGGTGTGGAGACTCACATGTGTGCGCAGAGCAGAGCGCTCAAGCTCCGTCCAGTCAGAGATGATTGCCTTACACTCGTCCAGCGCCTGTCGGTCGTACAGCAACCCCACCTGAGGCAAGAAGACAAGGGGGGAAAAGAGTGTGGAAAGGAGGGGCGGAGGGGAGGTAAGGAACGTGTGCTTGGGGTACCCTCAGACACGCGTCAAGCGCTTGTCGACCGTACAGCAGCCCCCCTGGGAGGAGACGCACAGGGAGAGTGGGTGAGGGGAGGATGGGAGCGAAGGGAGGGGTGAGGGGTATGGAAGGGGGCGAGGAACGGGGAGAGCGGGAAGAGCGCATGTGCTTGCCGTGACCTCATACATGAGGACGGAAATTTCGTCACACAACAGAAGAGACAAACAGTGCAGCGCGGAACAGAGGACCTGGCGTAACGTGGCATGCACTCACCCAAAAGGCAGGCAGGGCGCATTGTCTCCTCCACGACGCACCATCTGAGCCTCTCATCTAGGCGTAACGTGGCATATTCTCCTCCACGACGCACCATCTGAGCCTCTCATCTAGGCGCACTTTGATTTGAATAGACTCGAAACACACCAGGCTTGCACGTGGCTTGCACGTGGCTTGCACGTGGCTTGCACGTGGCTCGCACGTGGCATGCACTCACCCAGAAGGCGGGCAGGGCGCATATTCTCCTCCACGACCCGCCATCCGCGCCCCTCATCTCAAGATACCGCTTCAGCCGCACCTGATGGGGTGAGTGGGTGTGGGGTTGGTGGCAGGGCAAGGGGTTGTTGGTGGGGCAACGGAGGGAGTGTGTACATGTGTGTGATGACATGAGGATTTCACAAAAAAAAAAAAAAAATCACATAGGATCTTTGTAGACACGAAGATGTGACGCATGCGGGTTTCACATGCAATGATTGCGCATCGGAAATATCCCAAATCCTTTGAAGGAAACACCATACCTCAGGGAAGATGGTGGTAAGATGGTTTTCCCAGTCGTTGAGAGTGGGGTAGGCACCTGGCAGCACTGGGAGCTTGCCGTTCAAGAAGTCCTGAAAGCATGAGTGTAGGGGGAGAAGGTGAATGAAGGAGGAAAGAGGGGGAAGCGGGGAAAGAAGAGGCTCACTCAAAGCACTGTCGTCATAGCCAGTTTGCCAATTGAGTCCCAAAGACATGGGTGAAGGGGCCGAGAAGGCGAGGGGCGGGACAAAGAGACGTTAGACATGCGTGTGATATGTTAAATGTGCTTACTCGGAAGAAGGAGAGCCCTGTGGCATTGATGTAGCGCTGGTCGTGGCATTGATGTAGCGCTGGTCGTGGCATGCAAAGTACATGGGCACATCCAGGGCATACTCCACTCCACCCACATAGCCCTTCAAACGTACAAACATGCACATGACTCCCTTGCTCACCACCATCACCCATGCTTACTCGAAGAGGAGAGAGCCCTGTGGCATCGATGTAGTGTTGGTCACGGTAGGCGAAGTAAGTACATGGGCACATCCAGGGCACACTCCACTCCACCCACAAAGCGCTCAAAGCTACAAACCTAGTGCCATGCGCACTCACAGCCGTGCACATGCACCACAAACGTGACCCATCCTTACCACCATGACCTGTGCTTACCCGGAAGGAGAGCCCAGTGGCATCGATGTAGCGCTGGTCACGGTAGGCAAAGTACATGGGTACATCCAGGGCATACTCCACATAGCGTTCAAAGCTGGTGTCACGCACGCACACATGCACACATGCACATGGAAACGCATACACACATGCATGCATGCACACGGAAATGCATGCACACACAAATGCATACACACACAAATACACCCATGCATGCATATGCACACGCACACACACGCACAGGCACGCACAAGCACACACGACACAGGGGTATTAAGTGTTTCAGGAAAAACACTGAGTCGGTGTCAACAATATGCCCTCAAATGGTTTCTCGAAAATTTCAGCACTAACCCGCAGACACGAGAAAACTAATCAGAACGAATCTCATGCAAAACAGGAGAGAGCGGACCGGAAAAAAAGAGTGGCACGCACCTAAAGCCGTCCTCGAAAACAAACGGGAGGTCCCCTGTGCGGTCTTTGTCAGTGTCCTCCCACACTCGACTGCCAGGCAACCCGAGACAAGGCAAGGGACCAGAAAAAGGGAGAATTACTAAGGCGAATTAATCTCAACTGTGAGGCGATGAGGCAAGGAAACCAAGAAATGAGCAAGGGCACAGCAACGAGGGGCAGAAGAAGGGAAAAATATCAGAGACATTTTCTTTTACTGACTGCACGTGCACAAAGAAGGAGGCGCGGTAATGCTTAGAGGAGATTGGCCAGATAAGCTTGTGATGGCGGCGGCAACGAGAGTAAAAGGCTTGGACGGATGCCACTGTGCTGCTGTGCTGCCACCAGTGCCGTCCATGCACAGTAGCATAGCAGAGGCACTAACCAGTCTGCTGGCACTAACCAGTCTGCTGGCACTAACCAGTCTGCTGGCACTGCTGTGCACCCTTGAAGCCGCATAGTGCTGTCGCAGGTGCGCCAGAGCCGCCCTTGGCAGAACGGGCAGAGCGTGACGCTGAATCCCATGCACAGCAGCAGCATAGTGACTGCACTAACCAGTCTGCCAGCACTTTTGAGGCGCCTCAAAAGCCGCCCTTGGCAGAACGGGCAGAGCGTGACGCGAATCCCATGCACGGCAGCAGCATAGTGACTGCTCTAACCAGTCTGCCGGCACTGCTTCTGTGCACCCTTGAAGCAGGTCCATGATACCAACAGGTATACCTCCAACTCTAACCTGAGCGGTAAAAAATTGCCTCTCAACCCACCCCGCTTCCCACAAGCGCACCTGCGGTAGCTGAGATACCCATTGGGCTTGCCCTCCAGGAATGGCGAGTTGGCGAATAAGGCCGTGGCCACCTGCCAGAATGAACAGTGGCAGGGGTTGCGGCGAAGGGGGGAAGGGGAGAAGGGGGGGGAAAGGGATTTGATTTATGGAGTAGGGGCGGATTGAGAAGGGGGGAACATGGTACACATTCGGCTTGCCCTCCAGGAATGGCGAGTTGGCAAACAAGGCCGTGGCCACCTGCCAGAATGAACAGTGGCGGGGGTGGGGAGAAGGGAGGGATGGTTGGGAGGTGGAAGGGGAGGAGGGAGGGAGGGGGGGGGGGGGAGGGGAGGGGGGAGAGGGGGGGGGGTGGTTGAGGAATTTGGTTAATGGAGTAGGAGTGGAGAGAGAAAGGGGAACACGGTGCATGTGCGAAACATCATCTCCAACCCCACCCGTTCTAGCACAGCCCTTGCCGGGGGGACTTTTGAGTCGACTCAAAAGTCATCTCCAACCCCACCCATTCTAGCACAGCCCTCGCCGGGGGGCCAAACCTGAGTCTCGCCAGCTTTGAGGTCGTTTTTGAGGCGCCTCAAAAACGACCCCATGTGCGAAACATCATCTCCAACCCCACCCATTCTAGCACAGCCCTCGGGGGGGGGGCCAAACCTGATTCTCGCCAGCTGTAGCGCAAGGAGGTCATCCCTGAACCTCACAGGCTGTAGCATGAGGGGGAAAACCCGTCTCGCACCAGTTGCGCTCACCGGCTGTAGCGCTCGCCGGCTGTAGCGCTCACCGGCTGTTGCGCTCACCGGCTGTTGCGCTCACCGGCTGTTGCGCTCACCGGCTGTTGCGCTCACCGGCTGTTGCGCTCATCGGCTGTAGCGCTCACCGGCTGTTGTGCTCACCGGCTGTAGCGCTCATCGGCTGTAGCGCTCATCGGCTGTAGCCCAAGCCCGACTCGGAACTTGTCTACCATGTCCTACTCGGGGTCAAAGTCGAGGTTGACGAACACAAGTAGCGACTGTAGTGGCGGGTAAGCAAAGCTGAGACCCACCGCCTGAAGCAGCAGAGGGCTAAAGCACTCACCGGCTGTAGCGCGAGGCCAACGCGGAACTTGTCGACCATGTCCTGCTCGGAGTCAAAGTCGAGGTTCACCTGCACCGTGCACTACCTGGGGAGTACCCCTGTGATTCATCTCACCAGCTGTAGCAAAACACTCACCGGCTGTAGTGCGAGGCCCACACGGAACTTGTCGACCATGTCCTGCTCGGAGTCAAAGTCGAGGTTGACCTGCACGGTGCACGTGCGGAACATCATCTCCAGCCCCAGCGAGCCCACCTTGGGCATGTAGTTGCGCATTATGGTGTAGCGGCCCTGAAGTGGGGGGGAGAGGCAGGAGTGAGTGGAGTGGGATGGAGCAATGAAGACGGGCAGCTGGAGGGTGGGGAGATACGGGAGTGGGAACATCATCTCCAGCCCCAGTGAGCCCACTTTGGGCATGTAGTTGCGCATTTTGGTGTAGCGACCCTGGGGGAAGCGGACGGCGGAGGAGGAAAGGGAGTGGGGGATGGGGTTGCCGGGAAAGGGGAATGAGAGTCGAGAAGGGTAGTGGGAAGGGATCGAAGGCAAGGGAAGGCAGCATCTCAAGCCTTGAGCATGATGGGAATCGCAGCTCACCTTGAGCATGATGGGAATCGCAGCTCACCTTGAGCATGATGGGAATCGCAGCTCACTTTGAGCATGATGGGAATCGCAGCTCACCTTGGGCATGATGGGAATCGCAGCTCACCTTGGGCATGATGGGAATCTCTTCAAGAGTGTGCTTTGGGTTGAAGCCCAGGCTCAGTAACCCCATGTGCTCTAAGACCTCTCGCAAAACGACTCCAGGTGTGTTGTGAGTCGGCTCTGTGCATTACACATGCGCCTCACCTTGGGCATGATGGGGATCTCCTCCAGGGTGTGCTTCGGGTTAAAACCCAGGCCCAGGAACCCCACGTGCTCCTCCTCGCAGATGGATTTCACCTGCCATGTGCCAAGCCAAAAATCACGCACCACCCACCACCACCCACCAGCACCCATCAGCCAGACATTCAAGCGGAAATAATCCAAGTCAGTGACAAAATTATCACAATGCTCTCAGCCAGTAATTGGATGTGGCCTTGCGCCTTGTAAAGTTGATTGCACGGGTGCGTGTGGCAGGCATAGGTGCCCGTTGACTTCAGCGCACGTCTCTGCTGTGTCGTCAAGGCTGTGCCACCACTTAACTAAAAGTTCTTGGTAGAGTGATTGTATCCTGGCTATACCCGCCCTAGGCACTGCAGTAAAGCCCGTGGGTAACTGGAAAGGATAATCGTTACCTCAGCGCACGTCTAGGCTGCAATAAAGGGCAGTAAATGGTTTACCTGATAGAGGTGACCGTTGACCTCAGCGCACGTCTGGTGCACTGTCTCCAGGGGTGCGCCACTCAGCTCGAACTGACCTCCGGGCTCCAGCGTCACGCTCTGCCCGTTCTGCCAAGGGTAACGGAGTTTAGGGAACGTGTGGGTGTTCACGAGTGTGCACGGGCGTGCGTGAATGTGCATGGTTGCGCATTCCAATAATGGATATTATATAATCCCCTCATCCGCTGATCCGCAGGAATGCAGCAAATCGAATCATCCATCTCGAACACTGACCATATTCAGTGTGTGTAGCTATCTATCGCACACGCTCCGAGCGCGTGCGATTGTCGATGTTCACACGTTCCATAACTGTTCGTGGAATAGGTTCATTTGTTTAGATTGGAGACTAGCATTGGCCTGCCACCACGCACCGTTCGCAAGCCGCCAATCCTCGCCGTCCATGAAACTTGTACACAAATAAATTCTAAGAACCTCCTTCGTCAGCATCTGACGAAACTCACTGCTCTACGATCCTGTCACCCTCCAACGATCCTGTCGCCCTCCAACGATCCTGTCGCCCTCCAACGATCCTGTCGCCCTCCAACGATCCTGTCGCCCTCCAACGATCCTGTCGCCCTCCAACGATCCTGTCCCCCTCCAACGATCCTGTCGCCCTCCAACGATCCTGTTTCCCTCCATGATCTTGTCCCCACAAGTAAATAGTTAAGGAGCCTTCTAATTCAGCATTTAACGGCACTACAGTGTAGTGCAACGCGTACCGATCGCAGGCCGATGATCCTGACGCTCCCCATGATTCCGTCGTTAGTATCTGTCAGTCTTTTCAGTCAGCATTTGACGAAACTACCGCGCACTACAACACGTACCGATCGCAAGCCGATTATCCTGTCGCCTTCCGTGATCTTGTCCCACGAGTAGCTGTTTTAGGAACCCTTAAGTCAACATTCAAAGATACGTACCGATCGCAGGCCAATGATCCTGTCGCCCTCCATGATCTTGTCCCACGAGAACCGATCCGCAATGTGCTCCAACAGCGTCGCGATCTGCTCGTACGTCATTGGCTGGAGCGTCTTCTGATCGAACCCGAACTTCTCGTGCTCCGTGCCGATCCTGGCACGAGACGAAACGAGGTGAGCGAAATAGTGAGAGCGCAGCGGAAATAATGTGCTTACCGTTCAATTTCGCGAGGGTAAAAAAACATACCAATTTCCCATTGACTAATCTTCCGTAGTGAAAAATGGGAAACCTAGAAAACCTAGAACCCTGAAAAACGTCGGAAAAATCAAATAGCCGTGCATTGGTTCGCTCCCAACTTAGCCGTTTACCTCCACTTGTCCTTGGGCTTGCAGCCGGATCGCAGATAGTTGACCAGGTCTTCCTTGGTCAACGGCTCAGTCCGCACCTCAACCTCCTCCGTGGGAGGACTGGCTGCAACCACACCTCTCCCACCCACCCGTCGCCGCTGCCTGCTTACGCTGCTGCATTTCCCCGCTGCTGACGAAGGCTTCTGGGGGCATCCGATGCGTGATGGCGCGATAGCGGTGCTTTTTTGAAAGCAGGCGGGAGAGGAGGACTTAGAAGATGCGCATAATGGCTGGAGGGATGGCAAGCTGTGAAGCCTGGACGACGAAATCGCGTGAGACGTAGGGAGAGACATTTCTAGACTGCACGAAGAAAAGAGCGATTGCAAGGAAGCGACTGGTCGAGAGAGCGAGACGTGATGCTCGGCGAACGCACAGAACGCTTCTCAATGACAGGAAAAGCCTCGGAATTATAAAATGGGAAGACAGCTATCGCCTACGAGTAATCCCGCCTAAAACGGATTAGACGTAGGAGCCTACGGTGAAGGAACTAAGGGCTCTGCTTCCTGAAACTATGAAGCAGAATTGCATATGTGGTTGCTGGTGATTTGTGGTTGCTGAAATGCGTGACTGTGTGCAGAAGTGGGCTTACGTCGGATTCTGATCATTCATGAATTACCTCGAGCTTGCCGAATGGATCAGACTAAACTGGCGTAGACCAGCTACACCTATTTGTCTATTCCCCAAACCGAAGCTAACCGAAGCGACCAATTCGTCTTGCTGCTGTCCACGCTTTTTCTTCGTCGCTCGCCTGGCAAATTCCTCGATAATGTCGAGGGGTTGTGGCTGGGATTGGAGGCTTTTCGTCCACACTCCATGCGCTGCTGGCTCGGCTGCTGTCCACACCACGCCTCGGGAATTTTCTGAATTTCGAGGGCGTCTTTGGTTTGAACTTTTGTGAAACATCGACTGCTTGTCTATATATACTGCACCACATTTCAAGACAAGAATGTTAAAGCCCAGCCCTTGAATTACAGAAAAGCCCTCACAAACTGGCCCCAGTTTGTGTCGCGCCCCTACTGGGTGCAGGGCACAAGGCTTTCGGAACTTTTCCGAGCCTCCAAGTGCCTGCCTTTCCGAACCAAATTTTCCCGCGCTGACACCCTTGAGCAATTCGGGTGTTGCCCTTTAAAGCAGATTCTCCATTTAGAACAATGTTCCAATCACTTCTACTTGTACGCACGTCCTCAGTTCTTTCGATTACCTCCTGCGTCAGCAGCGGCCCACAGGCCGTGTTCCAAACCAGGACACAGAACAGACACCACCACCACACCACCACACACACACACACACACACCCCTCTGCCACCCCAGACTGAATCGAAAACTGGCATGTGGTCGCTAGGGGTTGTCTGTCGACTGGTCGACGTGTCGCTCACGTGGACTAGAGGGGTCTGGGTCCGAGGCGACAAGGTGTGGTGTGGGTGAACTCCCCAAGCCAAGCTTGTACGCAAGGTAGACTACACTTGAAGCGCTTCCTTGCACTGTAAGGATTTACAGAATCCTTACTGAGGCACTCGTTAGCGAGGACATCCCGAGGGTCACGCGACGAACATGTCCTTCCTATTTCGTCGCACCGAACCACTCCCGAGTCGCCTCCGCTCCAATCGCAATCATCACCGAGCCATCCTCGCCCAACCTCTCCGCCTAGCTAGGACTTGCCCTATTTAGTCGTGCCTTTCTCATTGTATCGTCATTCGGTAATCAGTTCATTCTCGTTATTCGATATTCTGCGCACTCTGCAAGTTCATTCATAACATGCACTACAAAGGGCAATGTAAAACATATAAACAGCTAATTACATAATACCTCGCCGTCTGGCGTATGTGCGTAGAGCCAAAAATACAACTGCAGACAGTGACACGACACTGCCTGCTGCGATGGGGAACGCTAATGAGGTATCTTCGAAGGATGATACCAGATTCATGCCTGGGACGGATCGAAGGGTGGCAAGAGCAACGAAAAACACCCCTGATGAATTCCTACCGTCAATGCCAGCCTGGAAGTGCAACAATGGCAACAACGAAACTCCCGGCTGTGGAATGTATAGACACGAAGATTGAAACTTACCTCATCCTACACTAGCACACTCACACAGCATGAACACTTCACGCATGGCAAATGACAGTAGCTAAGGCACAAGTCACACACCTATCAAGCAACAAAGGCTTACAGAAGACAGCAGCAATGGAGCCCCCCTAAGGGGTGACTTTTGGTTCGACTCAACAGACAACAGCCAAGGCACACAACACATCACACACCTATCAATAACCAGATGCTTACCGAAGACAGCAGCAATGGAGCCACCCACGGCGAGCGAGCATGTAGCCATGTTGACAAGCACGTCGAGCTCAATCAGCTGATTGCGCGCACTGCATGGAGCGAGAAAAGGAAGGCACACACACATTACACACATAAGACGGCAATAGAGCCCCCCACAGCCACTGAGCATGTCGCCATGTTGACAAGCACGTCGAGCTCGATCAGCGGATTGCGCGCACTGCACGAAGTACAAAAACAAGAAGGTGACTTAAGAAAACAACAAACGAAGTCGCGCGCCTCAGCACACTGACTACATACCAGAAAGAAACAAAAGAAGGAAAAAGAGAAGAAAAGCAGATGGGCAGCAGCTGTTCCACTCGCTCACCTGCCACTAATCACTCACCTGCCATTAATCACTCACCTGCCATTAATCACTCACCTGCCACTAATCACTCACCTGCCATTAATCACTCACCTGCCACTTATCACTCACCTGCCATTAATCACTCACCTGCCATTTAATCACCCACCTGTCCAGAGCAGTTCTGAGGTACTCCGAAGTGGCATCGGACATGGACAGCAGCTGCTCTGCCTGTTCCCCTATCTGCACCACCCACGCCATTATCACTTCCCTACTACCACCGCTCACCTATCGCCATCCACTCAACTACCAACATACACTCACCTGTCCAGCGCGGTTCTGAGGTATTCCGAAGTGGCATCGGACATGGACAGCAGCTGCTCCACCTCTTCCTCTACCTTCCCCCCCATGCCACTCTCACTCTCCTATCGCCACTCACTCATATGCCATCCCTCACTCACCTGTCCAGAGCAGTTCTGAGGTATTCCGACGTGGCATCGGACATGGAAAGCAGCTGCTCCGCCTCCCCCACCACCTCCTCCATGCGCCTCAGGTGATCCTCCAGCAGCTCCTCCACCTCGCTGTGCTCCGCGCTGTTAGCAGTCCCATGGGGGAGCGACGATTTTCGTGACAGGTACATCTCTGCCATGTCCTGCCAGGGACGGGGGTTGAACGGACAGGATTGGAACACACACGTGAAGGGGCCTTTTGAGACGTCTCAAAACACGTGAAGGGAGCCCACACCCCCCCCCCCCCCACCTCTTCCATGCGCCTCAGCTGACTTTTTGAGTCGACTCAAAAGTCACCCCCCCCCCCCCCACCTCTTCCATGCGCCTCAGCTGACTTTTGAGTCGACTCAAAAGTCACCCCCCCCCCCCACCTCTTCCATGCGCCTCAGCTGACTTTTGAGTCGACTCAAAGTCACCCCCCCCCCCCCCCCACCTCTTCCATGCGCCTCAGCTGACTTTGAGTCGCTCAAAAGTCCCCCCCCCCCCCCACCTCTTCCATGCGCCTCGCTGACTTTTGAGTCGACTCAAAAGTCACCCCCCCCCCCCCCACCTCTTCCATGCGCCTCAGGTGTCTTCCGACAATTCCTCCACCTCAGCTGTGCTTCCACTGTTGTTTCCCTAGGAGAAAGAAAGGCTTTCCTTGACAGGTGCATCTTGCCATGTCCTGTAGGGAAAGGGAAGGGAAGGGACGTCGGAGGAGGAGCATGTAAGCCGCCTCCCCCACCACCTCGTCCATGCGCCTCAGGTGGTCTTCCAACAACTCCTCCACTTTTGAGGCGACTCAAAAGTCAACCCGCCTCAGGTGGTCGTCAAAACTCCTCCACGTTGCTGTGCTCCCCACCCCATTGCTGGTGGCACCAGAGGTGAGGGAGGCTTTCTTTTGAGGTGCCTCAAAAACGACTTTGGAGGCGCCTCAAAACTCCTCCACGTTGCTGTGCTCCCCTTCCCACTGCTGGTGGCACCAGAGGTGAGGGAGGCTTTCCTCGACAGGTACATCGCGGCCATCTCCTGACATGGAATGGAAAGAAAAAACACGTTTCATCCCACCCTCACCATGCTATGTTACGAGACGCCTCAAAAGCAGGAAGAAAAGACGCACTCATCCCCTCCCCACCCTGAGCACTGCGGATTTACTTGACTCTCATTCGTAGACTCAGCATCTCGTTTTCAGAGGCCTCCTTCTGAGGCTCCTCAGATGAATTCTATACCAAACCATGCTCACCTCATCATTTGACAGCACTTCACGGACGGCGTTGCAGATCTGGTTGGCGCTCCTCTCCAGCCACAGCAGCTCAATTTCAGCTCTCAGGGAGTCAGGAACGCCTTTACACACATCCCCTCCACCCCCTTCCCCTCATGTGCTCACCTCATCATTCGACAGCACTTCCCGGACGGCGTTGCATATCTGATTCGCGCTCCGCTCCAGCCGCAGCAGCTCGTTCTTGGCTCTCAGAAACGCCTCTTGCTCCGCCATGGCCCGCTCATACGGCACATCGCCCCCCGGCGAACGCCCTCAAGCCCTGGTACACGCCCGGGAATATGGACGCGTACTTGACCTTCAGAGTCACCCCGACCTCGTCCTAGAAGGGCCTCTAGGACTTGGAATTCAAACGGGGTGGTGCGACCCTGGGTATGGTCAGGGCTGCTGTGGACTGGGGAGGGTGTTTCGTGCTGTTATTGTTCGTGGTGTTGTCGTTGGTGGTGGTAGTGGTACTAGCATCCCTCATGTCTATCTTACTCTCTCCAGCACCCCTTCACTCGCCTCTCCACCACTCCCACCCACCACTCCCACCCCTCACAACCCTCTACTCCTCCCGTCCTTCCCCTACCTTCCAGATGCTCCACCCACCTCCTCTCTTCCCTCCCTTAGCCTTCTCCTGCTCCCTCGTTCCCTTCTTACCACCCCCCACTTCCTCCATCCACTCTGCTCCCTCCTCCACTTTTCCCCTCCCCTTTGCCTTGTCTTCGCCTCACCCTCCCTTACAAGCACCTCCCTTGTGACATTAGACTGGGCTGCTCCGACTGAACCTAAACTGGCCCGGCTGACCCAACTGCCTGCCTGACCAGGCTTTAACAGAACACCGTCTTTCTGAGTCAACTCCAGCAGAAGCACCTCCCCGTATCGCTCCCACTGCCCGTCACTCCCAATCAAATGCCCATACCCGTGCTCCCGCCCCCCCTCCCCCCTCCTCCTCCTCTCCATTCGAAGCTTCACTGAACCTTCCCTTGCTTTCTTTCTCCAAATCCTCCAGCCATCGCTTGTTCCTCCTCCTCTCCTCCTCTCTCTGCCTCCTCGCCCTCCACTCCTCTCTCCTCCTCTCAGATACCTCCTCCTGCCACCCCTGACACCACTCCTCTTCTCGCTCATCAGTCCTCCCACCATCCGTCCCATCATCCCTTTTAGCACCCCTCTCCTCTCCTCCCTCTCCTCTTCTAAGAAAATTCCTCCCTTCTCTCTCCATGCCCCCTCGCTTCATAATCATCCTCTCCTCTCCCACACACTCCCGTCACCTCCCTCCCACTCTCCCTACACCTGCTTTCCTCACCACCCCACACATCAGAACCCCACTGCTCTCGCCCCTGCCCCTGCCCCTCCCCCTGCCCCTGCCCTGTACCTCTCCATATTCCTGCCCCAGTACCTTCTGCTGCCCTTCCTGTCGCTGCTGGCCTCTCCTGCAGCTGTTCCTCCCGTTCCAGCTCCCTTAGCTCCACCCCCCTCTTATCCCTTCCCTCCTCCAATCCACGCACCTCACTCCCCTGAGGTTCACGCCCCGCAGTCAGAAAACACCGTCACAGCACCCGAGAAAAACGTATCCGACCCCGAAAAACGAAGCTGGGGAGGAGGGCGATGGGGGAGAGCAAAACATCACACCCAGCACCCCCACCACCAGAACCAGCACCAGCAGCAGCAAGCAGCAGCGGTCCGAGCGCGAAGCAGAGAGGCGGCGCAGGAGGGTGGGGATGAGTCGTTGCCGCACGCGGGGCGAGGAGGTGTTGAGGACGTAGGCGCGGTTGGCTGTGATGACTGCTCTCACGTGCGCCAGACTCACCACTATGGCCCGCGGGCGGATGAGAATGGTGGGGATCTGTAGAGGGGGGATATGGGGAATAAGGAGACCAGTCACGGGAAGTGGTTGGAAGTGGGGAGAGAGTACAGGAAAGGAGAGGGAAGATAGTGGGGAAGAGGAGGTGTTGAGGACATATGCGCGGTTGGCTGTGATGACTGCCCTCACGTGCGCCAGACTCACCACTATGGCCCGTGGGCGGATGAGGATAGTGGGGATCTGTGGCACAAAGGACAAGGGCCGGGGATAAGGGGGAAGGGAGGGGTAGAGACAGGAGAGGAAAAAGAGAGGATGGGAGGTGTTGAAGACGTAGGCGCAGTTGGCTGTGATGACTGCCCTCACGTGCACGAGACTCACCAGTATGGCCCACGGGCGGCGGGCGGATGAGGACAGTGAAAATCTAGTTGGGTTGGGTGGAGGAGGACGGGGGAAGCGGGGGTAGAGAAAGGCGGGGGAAGAGAAAAAAGAGGAGATGTTGAGACGTAGGCTTTTGAGTCGACTCAAAAGAGGAGATGTTGAGACGTAGGCGCGGTTGGCTGTGATGACTGCTCTCACGTGCGCCAGACTCGAGAATGAGAATAAAAGGGATCTAGGGGATGGGTTGAGTCCGGGTAGAATTCGGAAGAGGAGAGGAAAGAAAGCGGGGAGAGGAAGTGTTGAGGGCAGCTAACCTGGTTAGGCAGCTAACCTGGTTCGGCAGCTAATCTGGTTCGGCAGCTAACCTGGTTCGGCAGCTAACCTGGTTCGGCAGCTAACCTGGTTTCGGCAGCTCACCTGGTTCGGCAGCTAACCTGGTTCAGTAGCTCACCTGGTTCGGCAGCTAACCTGGTTCGGCAGCTCACCTGGTTTGGCAGCTCACCTGGTTTGGCAGCTAACCTGGTTCGGCAGCTCACCTGGTTTGGTAGCCCAACTGGATCGGCAGCCTACATGATTGGCAAGCCACCTGGTTCGGCAGCCTACCTGGTTCGGTAGCTTCATCGCCGCACCTGGTTCTGCAGGGCGGAAATGACCACTCGCAGGTCCCTCAGCGCAAGGCCGGTCTCAAAAACCGAGCTCGACTTCCGCAGCGCCACCATGAAGCCACGCATGGGGTCTGATGCTGCCTGTGCGGGGGGGGGGGGGGGGGGGGAGGGGAGGGGAAGCGGGGGGGCTTGAAAAAGAGGTGGAGGAGGAGTGAGCGACAATGGAAGGATGGCATTCGAGACCTCAAACATGCAAGGCCGGTCTGAAAACCAAGCTCGGACTTACGCAGCGCAACCATGAAGCCATGCATGGGGTCTGATGCTGCCTGTGAGAAAGGATGGGAGAACACAACGAGGAGAGGTGGGATAGAAAATCAGGGGACGAAATGAGAGGGAGAAAAAGAGAGAATGTAACGGGTGAGAAGATATACTCTTATCTATAGCTTAGTCGGATCTTTCTAATGCTCATTTACGCAGCTTGAATTTGAAACGCCTCCTCCAGCTTCGACCGCCCTGCCCCTCCTCTCCTGCATGCTCGTGTGGGTCTAAGCAGAGTGCCATGCACACTCTCATGCACACCTGCCAGCCACTCACTTGAATCTGAAACGCCTCCACCAGCTTCGACCCGCCCCGCCTCCCCAGCATACTCTCGTGCCATGCACATCTGCCTACGACTCACGAGTTTGAGTCAACTCAAAACTCGCACCCCATGCACGTCGCACAATCCACACCTGCCAGCCACTCACTTGAATCTGAAACGCCTCCACCAGCTTGGACCGCCCCGCCTCCCCAGCATGCTCGCTTGAGCCCTCAAGGGCGGGCTGCAGCCCCCTCACACCCGCCTTGCCCGTGTCACCTGTCGTGCCTGTCACCACTGCTGCCGGCGCCGAGGCATGAAACACCCTCACATGCGGGGAAGAAGGCTGCAGCCCCCCCACACCCGCCTTGCCTGTGTCACCCCCAGTTGCACCGCCTGTAACCACTGCTGCCAGCGCAGAGGCATGAAACACCCTCACATGCGGGGAAGAAGGCTGCAGCCCCCCCACACCCGCCTTGCCTGTGTCACCCCCATTTGCACCGCCTGTAACCACTGCTGCCAGCGCAGAGGCATGAAACACCCTCACATGCGGGGAAGGGTGAAGGCTCCGGACACCCGCCCTGCCCGTGTCACCGGTAGGTCCACTGGTAACCACCGCTGCCAGCACAGAGGCAGCTGGCGAACGCGACCTGGAGTTCTCGAAAGTCTTGCAGGTATCGGCAATTCTGAGGACGTGTTTCGTGTTGGAGGAGTTGGAGCAGGGAGAGTTGACGGAATTGCTTATTACGCGTATGAGCTGATTCTTGGGAAGTGCAAAGGGAAGTCTGGAAGCAACAGGTGCGGTTCACTGGCGTGGAGGAGCCAGGCGAGGCACCGCCTTCTGGCTAACGACCCCATGGCAGAGGACGGCGGTGACAGCTGGAAAGACGTGCCTTTTCACGAGGTGCCTTTTGAGTCGACTGAAAGGTCAAAAGCGAAAGAAAACATTCATAATTTGGCGCGGAGGAGCCAGGCGAGGCATTGCCTTCTGGGAAGCGACCCCATGGTAGGCTGTGGTTGTAGGGACGTCTGGAAGATTCAGAAACATGGGGAATGCAGCTTTGATCCGAGTGTGCGAGGTCGAGTTTAGAGCGCGTCGAAAAAAACCGCAGGGCGATGGAACCGCTGGAAGATTCAGTGACTTGGAGAAAGAAGCCCTCACCGGCGAGCACGAGGTGTGATCACGAGGCCTTCGCAGCCCACCTGTCCTCTTTTGACAGCTCGAGCACGAGGTGTGATCACGGGAAGATTCATAAACATGGAGAACAAAAGTCCCGACGAGAGAGCACGAGGTCAGGAGCACGAGGTCTACTCGCCGTAAGCTTCAGGAACATGGAAAAGGTTGATTGCACGGAACATGTAGAGCCCGCAGGGCGACGTGACACGTAGAAAGCCGTTTGGACGGCGGAGAACGAGGTCGACTTTTGAAGCGCTTTAAAAAACCCGCAGGGCGACGGAACTGCTGGAAGCTTCCGGAAGATGAAGAAAGAAACCTTGACCGAAACGCACGAGGTTTACTCTCTGTAAGATTCAGGAGCATGGAGAATGAAGCCTTGACCGGCGAAAGCGTAGTCTTTGCAAGAACGATATCGTGAGGAACGAGAGGCTGTAGCGAGGTCGGTGCCGTCGTGGATTGCTGAGAAATGAAACTGATCTGATGGGGACGGAGCGAAAAAAACAACGTCGCGCCTTGAGTTGACAATAGTACTCCTAAATGAAGCTATAAAGACCACAAAAACTTTCAATAGTCCCACAAGTCAAGGATGATCCCAAACGGCCCACAACAGAGTAGAACCGAGCGAGTAGAATCAAGATGACTGGTCCGTGAAATCTCGTGGTTTTTGGTCCTGAATCAGAACTTGGTTTCGTGAGGAAACTCATGCACGAGGCATCAGTTTGCGAAACCTATGACGACCAACGTTACCCTTCGTAGTTGTACTCGCAATGAAGACAGCTTCCACAGATGAGTAGCGCGCTGATTCGTCAGGATTCGCCAGCTGCCACCAGCGCGAGCCAATGAAAAGCACCCACCTCCAATGCAGGAGGAACAAGAAAATAATACACATTCTGGATTGTTCAAATACGCAGCTTTACACATCTGAGATTGGCGATTGTAGTTTAGCATCGGAGCACTCAACACCGTGAATACTGTGCCACTTATTCCTCGGTTTCACCAGTATGTGGTTTTGGCGGCTACGCGGTGAGGCAACGGATCCAAACACGAGCCGCCCGTAGTTTTTGGACGACCTTACCGCCAGTCCTTCTCGCTCCTTGCTAACCGTTACTCACGCTCCCTTAGTGCTCCCCTCCCTCGTCGCTTGCGCGGCGTTCCTAACACCACCGTCTGCTGTCGTCATGATGTTCCGGCGGCTTGGCTCCGTGGCAGCGCAGAGCGTCAGAAGCGCGTCGCGAAGCCGCCGAACCGCCAGAACCCCGCCTTTAATCCATCACCATTCGACTTACCATTACCCCAATTGTCCACACGGTCATTACTCCATTCACCATGCTCCCGCCCTCACTCCCGTGTCTCAGCTATACACCAGAGTGTTTGATTCTTCCGCCGCTGCCGGCGCCGGCGCCGCCGCTGCCGCCGGCGATCAGATCTTGAGAGTCGATCTGCTTCGCGGGTTACCAAGCTGCACGCGGAGCCTCCTCTCCGCGCATCTTTCCGCTCCTCCGCAACTCACTCCCGCCGCTTCCGCTTCCGCTTCCACCGCACAAATTCACTCGCGGAATTTCCACTCCGCATCCGCCGCTTCCGCCGCTCCGGCAGCGGCGGCGGAGGAGGCGGAGGAGGTGGTCCGCGGATGGGGGGAGGATGACGACGACGAAGGGCTGACCGCGGGGGAGATCCGTGCGCACGGGCGCGATCGCCGTGAAATGCGGGATGACTGCCACGTGGGACAAGTGGGGGGTTAGGATCCCCCTGACTGTGCTCTGGATAGACGACAACCAAGTCGTGCAGGTATGACTGGGGTAGGGACCTAGTCCTGGGTTAGGTACGACTGGGGTGGGTACGACTGGGGTAGGTAGGTACATGCCCGACTGCGCTGTGGATCAAGGTGCAAAAAAACGACGTTTTTTTCAATTTTTGATCGTAAAATACCGTATCGTAAGAAACGATCGTAAAAAACGATAAAAAAACGGTTTTTGAAAATAAGTACTTTTGGTGCAAAAACTGCTGGCTACCCTGGAGCGTTGCAATACCTTCGTTTTTTTCAGTAAAAAGACCAAAACTGCTGCTGAAACAAGGGGATTGACTGGTGAGAAGAACAAGGGGGGCCGTTAGAAGTGCTGATGATGCAGCGGAAGATTGTTAGAAGTGCTTTTGTGATCAGAACAGCATCTTTGAAGTTGAAGAGTTTTTTTGTCTAACAAAAAAGCGACGTTTTTTTCCCAAAAGATACCGTAAAAAACCATCGAAAAAAACAATCGTATTTTTCGACAATCGTTTTTTTCTACCTTGCTGTGGATAGACGACAACCAAGTCGTGCAGGTATGGTTCATGAATGCAGGTACGGCTGGGGTAGGACGACTGGAGTAGGTATGCTGTGGTTGGGGTAGTTATGCCTTAGTGTGCTCTGGATAGACGACAACCAAGTCGTGCTGGTGCGACAGGGTTAAGGACCTAGTCCTGAGTTAGGTACGACTGGGGTGGGTAAGACTGGGGTGGGTACGACTGGGGTGGGTAAGACTGGGGTGGGTACGACTGGGGTGGGTAAGACTGGGGTGGGTACGACTGGGGTGGGTAAGACTGGGGTGGGTAAGACTGGGGTGGGTACGACTGGGGTGGGTACGACTGGGGTGGGTACGACCGGGGTGGGTACGACTGGGGTGGGTATGACTGGGGTGGGTACGACTGGGGTGGGTACGACTGGGGTGGGTACGACTGGGGTGGGTACGACTGGGGTGGGTAGGCATGTGCCTGACTGTGCTCTGGATAGACGACATTCAAGTCGTGCAGGTGCGACAGGGTTAGGGACCTTGTTCTGGGGGTAGGGGACAACTGGTGTAGGGAAAGACTGGGTTAGGTAGATATGCTGTGGTTGGGGCAGGTGCCTAGGTAGTGCGACTGGGGAGGGTACAACTAGGGTAGGTGCGACTGGGGAGGGTACAACTAGGGTAGGTGCGACTGGGGAGGGTACAACTAGGGTAGGTGCGACTGGGGAGGGTACAACTAGGGTAGGTGCGATTGGGGATGATGATTAGGGTAGAGCTGGCAGTGAAGCTGTGGCTGGGAAAGGTGTTACAACGAAATGGGGTAGGTACAGTTGGGATCTTCAATTGTAACCCTTTTTTCTGAACCTTTTCCCTCTCTTTCCCTCATCTTCCCCACCCAGGTGAAAACAAGGGAGAAAGAAGGCTACACTTCCCTGCAAATCGGGTCCGGGCAGAAAAAACCCAAGCAGCTGACCAAACCGGAGCTGGGGCATTTCCGGGCAGCAGGGTGCCTTTGAAGCGAAAACTAGTGGAGTTCCGTGTGTCAGAGGATTGTATTCTGCCCGTGGGCACGCCCATAGACGTGCGGCATTTTGTTCCCGGGCAGTTTGTGGACGTCACAGGGACCACCGTGGGGAAGGGGTTCCAGGTATGGTTGTTGTGATTGTGAGATCCAGGTGTGGCTTTGAAGTGAGGTTCCTAAGAAGGATTTTGGGTGTGGTTTTCGTATACTTTGTGGTTTTCGTATACTTTGTGGTTTTCGTACACTTTGTGGTTTTTGCAGAGTTGGATCTTAACCCCCCTCCCCAGCTTTCCCTCTCCTTCACCCCCATTCCTTCGCCCTTACCCTCCCCTCTCCTTTTTCCCCTTTCCCCATTCATAGGGTCCCATGAAGCGGTGGGGGTTCAAGGGCATGCCCGCATCCCACGGAGCATCACTCTCACATCGAAGCCACGGTTCCACAGGAGGCCGACAGGACCCTGGCAAGGTGAGGCTGGTTGCAAGCCGGCATGGTGCGGTGAGACTGCAGTGAGTGTGTGTGTGTGTTGAGGTTGCATCCCACGGAGCGTCTCTCTTCCATTGAAGCCACAATTCTACTGGCGGCCGGCAGGACCCCGACAACTTGAGGCGGGTTGCAGGCATTTGTTGCTAGAGAACGTGTATTTTCAAGGGCATGCCCGCATCCCATGGAGCGTCGCTCTCGCATCGAACCCACGGGTCTACTGGCGGCCGGCAGGACCCCGGCAAGGTGAGGCTGGTTGCTGCAGGCATGATGCGGTAAGACTGCAGTGAGTGTGTGTGTCGAGGTTGCATCCCACGGAGCATCGCTCTCTCACATCGAAGCCATGGATCCACAGGAGGCCGGCAGAACCCCGGCAAGGTGAGATTGGTAGCAGGCATGCTCAAAGTTACTTGCTAGAACAAAAGAGCACATGTAGGGGTAAGAGTGCATTGCTGGTCCCTTGACCCCTCCTCTCTCGCTGGTGCCTTGACCCCTCCTCTCTCGCTGGTCCCTTGACCCCTCCTCTCTCGCTGGTCCCTTGACCCCTCCTCTCTCGCTGGTCCCTTGACCCCTCCTCTCTCGCTGGTCCCTTGACCCCTCCTCTCTCGCTGGTGCCTAGGAACAAAACGATTTATCAACGCTATTTACTGATTGTTGCATGTGCGCATTACTTGTCCCCATTGTTGCATTTTTTTCCTGCACCCCCCTGCTCCCCCTGCCCCCCCTGCTCCGCCTGCTTCCCTGCTACCCCTGCTCCCCTGCTCCCTTTGCTCCACCTCAGGTGTTCAAGAACAAGAAGATGGCGGGGCAGATGGGCAACAAGCAGCGCACGGTGCAGAGCGTGTGGGTGTACAAGGTGGAACCTTCCAGAGGGCTGCTGTGGGTGAAGGGGCAGGTGAGTTCTTCAACGACCTAACAGGGCATTGTTCTGGGCTTGGAAGGAGGTGGGTGGAGGACGGTGCAGAGCGTGTGGGTGTACAAGGTGGAACCAGCAAGTTTGTTGCTGTGAGTGAAGAAGGGACAGGTGGGTGCTATGTTGAGGCCGGTCTGTGCCTTAATCTGTATAATTTGTCCCTTCCCAACAGGTTCCCGGGCACAGTGGCAACTTTGTGTTTGTGAAGGATGCAGTGAGGAAGCACGAGGTGCAGGGGCCAGACGCGAAAGAGTATGGTGGGCTGCAGCTGCCCTTCCCTACCTTCTACCCCACACCTGGGGAGGATTTGACAGCGCTGCCCCCGCTCCTGGCTGATGTTGGGGAAGTAGATCCCTTCACAGCTGAAGGATAGACAGGCAGGTTTGGACTCTGAAGAAAAATGACTCAGCAATAGCCATATGGCTTATGTGGGGCATATTGATACGAGGTTTGTCCCGATCCTTGTGCACATGGGCTTGGTAGGAGCTTAGTGCACAAAAGTGCAGTCTTTTGATTGAGCGCTCGAAACTGCAGACTGAAAGAAGCTGAGTGCCGTGGTACATGCTATAATGGCCGACATGTCACCTCCAGCAAGTTAATCACATGTGCTACCTGTATTCATAGGACGTCCGTGATAACTCCCTTCCCGAACAACCAGAGCATTCATTAAGGGCACTTGCGTTGATGATTTTTGTAACAGACAAGTTTAGATTGTTGACGCTGCATTGCATTGCAACGGCATTTTTATTGTGAATTCAGCATACCGTATTGCAGCGGCGTTGCTTCTCATAATGATCCTGCACCTAACCAGTCGTGAAGTATGAGGGAAACTATCATTATTGCAAGCTTCTCGTTTTCTCATACGGAACGTGGGAAAGGGTACTCCCATTCAAACTTCAAAGATGTATCGGTTGACTGTATCGCAATCGGATGCGCCCATTGCACAGGAGTCGTCGATTGACGTCAAACATGACTGGATACGTCGAACTGTCCGTCGATCACTCTCTCTGGTCGTCGTCACCAAGGCTGCTATGGCGAACCGCGGATTCCTCTGCGAGCATTTACCGACAGCGTCAGTCACATTGACGTGCAGAGGATTCCAGTTAGTGCTGACGGGCTTAGGGAACAAAAGTTTGACGGTCACCACGTTTTAGCCTGTGTGCATGGTCGCCACCAATAGCTGCTCGCGAAGCACAAATTCGCTCTGACGGGCATCCGTGTATGTGCAACGAAGGAATTTCGGCAGTGGTTCCCCTCCCTTCCTCCAGTGGTTCGCAGCAGCTGCTGGAACTTTCCAGCACGAGCAGCTAGCATCGCAACCTGAGATGGGGAGATACGTTTCAGTTGTTTTGAGTGTCTGTTTTGTGGTTTTCTGGACTCCTTCAGCAGTTTTATCTCAAACTGCTCGTGTTCACCAGCCAACATGACGATCAAGGCTGTAGTGGTTCTTACCGGCTCCGAGGGTGTCAGTGGCACTGTCACCTTTGAGCAGCTCGAATCTGGTGAGTCTCTATGTCTTCCTAATCCACTCTTTTACGGTGAAAATCAAAGTGACAGTGACAGTGACATCATGATTAATTGTTCTGACAAAAAGATCGCTATCTGTAACGCCGTGCTATCAGGCTCGACTGTGGTGAACGGCAAGATCACTGGCCTCAAGCCCGGGCTTCACGGATTTCACGTGCACGCCCTGGGTGACACCACGAACGGCTGCATGTCCACAGGTCGCACTCATATCCCTGCCCCCAGAAATGAAGTCGAATTGTTTACCGCTTGTCATTCGTAAGTTCGTTCTCGAAATCGAGGCACCTCTGCATGTCCTGCCGTTTTCTGTATTCTTGATTTGTTAAGTTTGTCCGCGACGGAACGTCTGCCCGTATCCTATATCCGCCTCTCGTGGTCTTTGCCTTGGATTCACGTCTATCATCGTTGTTCTTGCCCGAATTCACGTTAGTGCAAGATCCTCTGACACATCTCGACCTTGGAAGGTCTCTGCAATTTCATCAATTTGCGTACGTTGTCGGTTTCCGCCACTGGCTGATCTACGTCAGGCCCGCACTTCAATCCGGCGAACAAAACTCACGGCGCTCCGGAAGACGAGGAGAGGCACGCGGGAGACCTTGGGAATGTCGTTGCTGATGAGGCTGGTAAGGGTGCCTTTTTAGAATGGAGACCGCCATTCAATAGTTTCGCGTTTCCACTCGCTCTTCTGCATGACCATGTGTTTGTGCAAGTTCCTACCAGGTGCAGTGAGAAGTTTGCAAGCTTCTTACTTCCAAGTCTTATTCTGGAATTGGTGCCATGATCGTTTTTGCAGGGGTTGCGGAGTTCACCATAACAGATTCACAGGTATGCATTTGGCTCTCAGTTCTCCCTTCCCCAAATTGTGATTTCTCTTCAATTTTCTGTGCAATTGCCGGCCACGTACTATCATGCACTCATCCTCCCCCCTCCTCCACCCCAACCTTCAGATCCCTCTGTCTGGCCCTAACTCTATCATTGGCCGTGCTGTTGTCGTGCATGCTGACATCGACGACCTTGGCAAGGGTGAGAGCATGCAAGGAGGGTGATGAGTGAACAGTGGATTGTAAGGGTGCGTCAGATCCATTGTCGGAAAAATCCGGCCGGCCGGATCTAGCGAAGGTTACACATTCACGACATTCGCAGGGTATTTCGTTAACTTCGCACGATCCGGCCACCTGATAAAAATTTGATGGCCGGTTTGATGGCCGGTTTAGCATTCGACAACTTTCCGACGTGCAAACGAATCGAGAGTCGACCACCTTGTTGACTCGTCAGCGCTACAGTACTATGCGACTTGGCCAACATACCCAAGCGACTCAACGTGTCTGATCGTAGTGTGCACATTAGCGGTCGTGTCACTTCAGTAACAATACATGCGACTCCGTCGCACAATCCGGCCAACTGTGCGACCTGCAAATCTGACACTTTTGCAAACCGGCCTGTAAATCGGCCACCAAATCTGTCGGATTGCAACACCTTGAAAATGTGGCTGGATGGTGGTCGGTTTAGCATTCGATCATTCGGCCGACTTTGGCGAAAAATATAGTTGACCAAAAGGGCAACAAATTTGCAGCCAAATCACATTATAGCGGATCTGACGCACCCTAAGGTCTGCTGGTGGTATTCTTGAGAGGATGTAGTCGGCTAATAAACCTCACGATTTGTATATTTTGAATCGTCATGCATCTGTTACCCCATCCAGGTGGTCACGAGCTCAGCAAAACCACCGGGAATGCTGGAGGCAGGCTTGCATGCGGTAAGCTAACCACTAGCACATCCAACTTCATGTGGTTCCCGTAAAAATCCGTGGCTATCCTAGTTGAGTATGTATGTACCGGGCTCATGAGTTTCTTTTTGTCTCTGGCAGGTGTTATCGGCTTCCAAGCAGCAGCTTAGATAATCACTTAACCAGCTTACCCAGAGAAACGTCTGTATGATGGTTTCGGATTACTGAATTGTAACGATACAACGATTAGTGGAACATTTTCCTCAAGGATCCAGATTTGCACTTCAATCTTGCCGAAGGCCACGTGTGCGCTGCTGACGTGTTTCCAGACGTGGAAGCGTCAGGAAGGAGACCAAATTCAGGAATTTCTGCAAAAAGCCAACTCGTGAGCGAATCACAACTGTGACACCTTTCCCGCACTTCACACCTGAAACGTCGCCCAGAGTAGTCTAATAACCCGGTTTATAGTGCGTTACCGTATGGTGCAGTACTGTGCTCGGTACCTCTGAATTCCCCTCCAGAACTGGTCACCTACATGTTCCCATCACCATCACATTCCAAACCACCAAGCTACCGCAACCAGCACGCTTCAGCTGCCAAGATTCCACAGCGCCAATTGCGGGTCCGCCATTGCCGGTTCTCCGCCTGTGAGGAACTTGTTGCCCGCTTCGCCACCCAACGCAATGGCATCCTGCGGTCTGATTTCCGCGTCCCTTCGCGTCGCCCCGTCCCTTGCTCCCGCGACTGGTCTCCCCTCGGCTTCACGACCCTCCGTGAACAGCCAATCAGCATGCGCGAGGACGTCCGTGATCCGCGTTCGCAGTAGCATGAAGACGGAATCTTCCGACTTTTCAAGGGGTCCCTCATCTGTCATTGCCAAGATGGCAGTCCCCGCCGTGCTTGCCGCTCTCCTCGCCATGCCGCTCTCCCCCGCAGCCGCGTCGGCAGCAGGAATTAACGCCGTCGCCGTACTGACGGGGAGCTCCGGGGTTTCCGGGACCGTCACATTCTCGCAGGAGGGATCAGGTAAATTCGCGAATCAAATGGTGCATCCTTCAGACTTTCAGATTATTTGGTTACTTTGAGAATGGATGCAATCTGGAATTTCCCAAGATCAAAAGAGGTAGCTATGTACCGTTGGCGGGAGGGATTGAGCAAGGATCAGGCAAATACGATTTTCATCCCAATATGACTCTGACGCTCCTGAGGCGCCTTGTAACCGGCAGAGGGGATTGGCTATGCTTGACATTGAACAATCGACAATGGCAGAACCCTTGAGCCGCTTCCCCGTCCTTTGCGCCCGCTTCAGGGCCGACATCAACTCTGAAAGCATTTTCTTTTTTATTTCCCCTCCTTCCTGCTGTCCTATTCTCGTTCCTTCGCATCCACTCCCACCATCCTCGAAAACTCCAGGCCCTGCAGAAGGGAGTACATTGGAGGGCTGACTCTCGGGCCTGCCTGTATCGTAATTCCAGTTCCCAGCATCAGGAGTATTCACAGCTCCCATCCCATCCATCCCGCTGATCCCCTATCCTGGTCCTTTCCCCTTTGATCTCCCCCATCTCCGCCATCTCACTTCCCCCAGGCCCCACGGAAGTGAGTGCGACAGTGGCAGGGCTGACTCCAGGCCTGCACGGCTTCCACGTGCACAAGCTGGGAGACCTCTCCAACGGCTGCATGTCCACTGGTAAGGGTTTCTTGTGCTTGTTACAGAGCTGTGCTATAACGAGTCTGAGACAGACTGGCTGAAATCCTTCACGGCTTCCACGTGCACAAGCTGGGGGACCTCCCCAACGGCTGCATGTCCACTGGTGAGAGCAGGTTGTACTCGTAATATGTGCTATAACGAGTCCGCATGCAACATGTTGAATGAAAGCCTTCCACGTGCACAATATGGACCTGTCCAATGAGTGCATGCCAGGTGTGGACTTGTTATATTTATACATAGGCATGGTCATCGTCTGGGCTCTCTTATTTCTATCTGTAGCTGTTATGGTATAGTAATCATGGTGAGAACATTACCCTCTGGTGACTGTCGAGACATCCTAGGTGTCACTTGAGTCAATCATAGACTCTTGTCTTTGCCTCTTACGTAACACTCACTGGATCCCTACCAGGCCCGCACTTCAATCCGGCGGGCAAGACCCATGGAGCACCAGGGGATAGTGAGAGGCACGCAGGAGACCTTGGAAACCTGGTGGCGAATGAGTCTGGTGAGTTGATGGATATCCGTTTGTTGCAATGCAGTTTACGAGGGTTTTCTTCTTAAATTTACCAGTCCTGCTTCACAGTTATGAACATCCAACCCCCTTTTTGTCATTCTCTTGTTCTCGCCCGTGTCGAACTATCCAACTCCCTGGTTCAGGTGTGGCAACTGTGTCTCTGACTGACCTCCAGATTCCTCTCTCGGGTCCCAACTCTGTTCTTGGCCGTGCTGTTGTCGTGCATGCTGATGCGGATGACTTGGGCAAGGGTGAGTGGGAAGGATGGGAAGCAAGGTTTTTGGGGCTGAGATGCTCTTGAAATGATTTTAGAGGCGCCACAAACTCCAGTCTCTGGCTCAGGCTCCAAGTCTGTCCTTGGCTGTGCTGTTGTCACGCATGCTGATGCGGACGACTTGGGCAAGGGTGAGTGGGAAGGATGGGAAGCAAGGTTGGGGTCGCTGTGGGTATGCACAAAGTGTTATCGGGCCAAGGATTTATCTGCGTATTTTCGCCTCTAGGTTCGCTCTTCCACATTTGCTTTGTGTGATTATTTCGCTGTATATCCGCCTAGAACTGTACATATGGTACAGGTTGCCCTTGTCCCAATAATATGTGTATTGTGTGTGATGTGTGCATGGTGATACCGTGCAGGTGGTGTTGAGCTGAGCAAGGCCACGGGCAATGCTGGTGGCAGGGTGGCATGTGGTAAGTTGCTATGCTAGCTGTGTTGATTGTGCCATAATTGTGAAGTATTTTAATTGGTTGTTATTTATCGTAGCCGCGCAGCCACGTGGACCCACTTGTATGCTTGTCTTTGCATTCACGTCCCCCCCCTCTCCCCCCCACCCTCCCTCACACCTTTCCATTGCAGGTGTGATTGGATTGTCGGCAAACTAGATGCACGAGGCTGTTAAAGCTACCTTAGGCTGCTTGCATATTGTGTGAAGATGTAAAGAAAATGCACTCAAAGCTCAATTGCAACACCTGCCATTTATCATGTGTTGTGTCCCTGGTTCAGCTAACATTGCAAGATGTTGACTGGTGATGTTGAGGTATAGAGAGTTTTGTTCATGCATTTTTGTTGAATTTGCATTGTGGTGTAGTCACCGTAACACCGGTTGGGGTTGATGTAAAGCGGTTTTTGGCAGTTTCTTCAGTGCTTGCATTTTTCGGCTGGACTGTCGGCGGAAGAATTTAGAAACGGCGAAAAGCATAAACGACACACGATTCCACCAGCCGCATTTTCGTCAATCAGGTTTCCTGGTCAGCCTGTTTTTGTTTCTTGCCCGAGAACAGTTCTACACCCTCTTTCTCGCCATTGTGAATTCGGTTATAGTAAAGTCAAGATGGGAAAAGCACGGTTAACGGTGGTTAGATTAAGTCTAGGTATGGTTCAATCAGACAAATCGAAGGTAACTAGGTTTTCCATCAGTTCAGCACAGTTCAGTGTAGTGAGAAACAGGGTGTACTTGAAGGAAATGTGAGAACAATGTTTACCACCAAGCCCAATCTTCGTTCACCACCCCGAACCAACTTCAACGGAGGGGCAAATCACTCTGAGCAAGCGGCAGTTGCGCCTCACCGTCATGTGCGAAAATGGACGACCAACAGCACCAAACATGTTGCTGGTGGGGCCTCTATAACTTTCAGGGTCCGGTCAGGTGGTTTCTGCTCTGTCACATGGCATGGCAAAACCATAGCTGCAGCCAGATCGGCGTGGCTCGGAAGCCTCCCCTCTCTAGCGCTTGATATCCCAGGTTCACGACTCCGAGCCTGAAAGGACAAGCCACGGAACTCAACTCCCAAGACTCCGAACCTCGAACTCAAACTTTACTGTACACAAAACGCTGTCCCTTTCCCTGACCGCAAGCCAAACGAAACCCTCGTCCTGCCTGCCATGCCATGCCTCCCTGCTGCCTGACCTGTCTTCCTCCCCACCAGTCCCTCGATATCTTGGAGTCCCTCGCCATTCCAGTCAACCGCCAAAAGAGCAGTCTTCACTCAGGAGGAGCAGAGAACAAAGCGACTTTGACTTCCAAGTCACAGATGTTTGTTCTAGTGAGGAGACAGAGCAGCTTTCAGAAAGGACAGCAGTACCGTAGTTCCAGGATAAGCTACGTTAGAACAAGGCAATAATAGGGTTACGCATTCGCCATTTACGCGTTCAAAACGTAGCTCCGCTAACCACAACGCAGTGAAGTGCTGGTGTTTTGTAGATCAGTAGTGCTTTGTGTCTTGTCACGAGGAGCGGCATAGTTTCAAGACAGGCCTCCAGAGCACCATCAGCGTTGGTGTAATCTATTGTCTTTATTATTGACTTCAATACTCACCAGCTAGACGCGATGGTCACTCAAGACAGTCGAATGTTTCGGTGGCTGGTGTGTGCATTGGTGGTATCATTGACGCTGCTTCGAGTGGAGGGTCAAAGCACTAGCATGCAAGGCATGGACTACATGCTAGCGGCCTACGCAGGAGACAGTAAGTTTCCCGCTCTTCATGTTAACTCTTTTCTGCGCCATTCATGGCGCGAGGCTCTCGCGTTATGTAGCTGTTTCCATATCCACCGTGTCGATGTTCACAATCTCGTTTTTCTCCCGTACGAAGTACCTTTTGTAGTGTAGTTAGTTCAAAGCCAACCACAAATGGATTACCCGCTTAATTTTTTGTATGTTGGTGTAAGAGGGATACGAGTCTTCCCGTGATAGCGACGTCGTTCCCGGCTTGTGCGTGTAGCTGTGCGCTTCTATCACGAATGGTAAATTCCGACGTGAGTAGCTATCAGTGGATGAAGATGGTTGGCGCTCCCGTAAAGCTGTCCGTTTTACATCTCATCTCCGTTTAGCATCGCGGAAGCGGTTGGAAGCGCAGCAGCCGCTCAAAGCACTTGGTCCTCGCCCTATTATTCACTCTCTCCTCCTGAGACGCGCTTACTGCACGAGCCTGTCGCCTCGCTCATCTCGCCCTTCTACCGTTGTCATTTCCTCTGACGACCCACCTTCCCTCCTCCCCACCTCAATCAATCGCACCACTATTCCTCCACCCTCCCCATCCTCACTACCTCCTCTCACCCCCCCATCGCTTCCACCAGCCCCCCTTCTGCTGTTATGCTGGAAATGTTTTTTTTAGTCAACTCACAAATCTCTTATCCTGCTCCTCCCTACGTCTTCCTCCTCTCCCCTCGTCCACTCGCCCCGTCTCTCTCTTTCTCCCTCTCCCTCCGTCTGCCCCGGTTCCGCCAGACCCATTCCTGCTGGGATGGCAGGAGACCTCCTTCACCAACTTCCCCGCGCCCTTTTGGAACGTCGCCGTCGGCCGGCCGTGCCCAGGCAACACCTCCGACCTGCCGTACGCGGGCGTCTCCTGCAACGACCAGGGCTACGTCATCTCCGTGTACGTGCTTCGTCGTTCTCGTCGTCGCCAATTCCCCATCTCGTTGACTCGTCGAACGACTTGTCGTCTCGTCGTCTCGTCGCCGTCTCGTACTCTCGTCGTCTCATCGCCTCGTCCGCTCGTCCTCTCATCGCCCTGTCGTCCCCGCCCGTTCCTCCTCTTTTCCCCTCTCCTCTCTCCTCGTCGGCCCTTTCTTCTTCCTAACACCCCCCTAATCCACTCCACCTCTCGCGACCCCTCCCGACCCCTTCCGACCCCTCCTTTCCGCAGGGATCTGAGCTACCCGTCGTTCCCGGCGGGCGTGCCCAAGCTGCAGGGTGGCTTGGACTGGAACATCTCGGGAGTGCTCTTTCTCGAGCGCCTGTAAGTGCCTCGTCCGCTCTGCCCTACAGTATTTTGCTTCCCAGCCCTTCGCTTTCCAGCCCTTCGCTTTCCAGCCCTTCGCTTGCCAGCCCTTCGCTTGCCAGCCATTCGCTTGCCAGCCCTTCGTTTCCCAGCCTTTGGCCACAGATATTCTCAATCCGCTGCTGCAGTTTCCGCTTTGCCTCCCCCTTCCATGGTTGCGGGATTCGGAATGTTCCGCTCTCTAGGCGCCGTCTCGCCAATCTTCTCATATTTCCTTTCTGTTCCCCCGTGCCTCTTCCCTTGCCACGTTTGATTTTCTGCGTTGATTGCCGCCTCTTTCGAAACTGTCGGAATCGCGACCTGAACTCTCTCCAATGCGCGTGGATTGCTGCCGACTCTCGTTCAACCCCGTTCAACCCCGTCTGGATTGCTGCTCGCTCTCAGCGACGTCTCTTACAACCTTCTTGAGGGCCCTCTGGTGAGTAACACCGCCTCCTCACCCCCTTCTGACCCTCATAACTTGGCCGTTACGGACAGCTCCACGTGCCGTTACGGACAGCTCCACGTGCTGTTACGGACAGCTCCACGTGGCGTTACGGATAGTTGACCATTAGGTGTCGAGCTCGCCATCTTCTGAGTCACGCACGTCTCTTGTGTACGCCGTCTCTTGTTTGCGCCTTCTCTTTTCGTATGTTACGGGTAGGTTTTTTGAGAATTCTCAAAAAACACGCTCTGTTTGTGCCTTCTCTTGTTTGCGCCTTCTCTTGTTTGCGCCTTCTCTTGTTTGCGCCGTCTCTTGTTTGCGCCTTCTCTTTTCGTATGTTACGGGTAGCCGCCGCAGCCGGGGCGGGCAGCGAGCTTCCAGTCGCTCAACCTACCCAGAATGCAATGAGCTGGTCGTCACGCGTCTTTGAGTCTAACAAACCTCGTCACTCACACATGTCAATGTCTCTTCTCCTCCCGCCCGTGTCTCTTTCCCGTGTCTTTTCCCCTGTCTCCTTTCCCGTGTCTCCTTTCCCGTGTCTCTTTCCCGTGTCTCCTTTCCCGTGTCTCTTTCCCCCTTGGTCATTTGTATGTGCAGCCGCCGCAGCTGGGGCTGGCACCGAGTCTCAAGTCGCTGAACCTGGAGGGCAATCAGCTGAACGGCACGCTCGACGACATGCTCTGCTACCTCGACAAGCTCGAGTGCCTGTAAGCCCGGTTTCCCTCTTGACTTTTGAAGCCCCCTCAAAAGTCGTCTCATTACCCGCAATGCTCTGCTTCCTCGACAAGCTCGAGTGCCTGTAAGCCCGAGTGCTCTCTGCTCTCATCGTGTGTTATGAGTCGACTCAAAAGTCGCCTGGATGGTCATCAGCTGAACGGCACGCTCGACGACATGCTCTGCTACCTCGACAAGCTCGAGTGCCTGTAAGCCCGGTTTCCCTCTTTACTTTTGAAGCCCCTCAAAAGTCGTCTCATTACCCGCAATGCTCTGCTAAGCTCGAGTGCGTGTACGCCCAATCTCTCTCCTTCCCCTCTCCGCCCGTTGCTCCCGCCTCTCATTCCCACAACCCCCCCACCCCACTCTCGTTCCCCCGTTTCCACCCCACCCCAACATCCCCCCCCCCCCCTTTCCCCCCTATTTTCCCAGCCCAACCCACCCACCCAACACTTCCTCCTTTTCCTCACCCATTCACCCTCCCTCGGCTCTTGATGTTTCGTTGTCTCCTCTTTCGTTGTCTCTTTCACCTATTCCACCCTCCTGTTGTCCGCATCGTCTCTCTCTCGTTCTTGTGCTCATTCATTCTCCTAACGTCGCCCCGTCCTGCCGTCGTTCCGTCCCTCGCATCGCAGCCATCTCGCCAACAACAACTTCAGCGGAAACCTGCCCTGGTGCTTCAAGCGGTTCCCCTGCCCCGAGTAAGTGTTTTGCACTGCACTTCACCGCACCGCATTGAACCGCACCGTGCCATGCACGCACTTCCTCCCCTCCCATCCCCCCCAATCCGTGCTTTCCCTTTACCCAATGTCTATCTCCCCATGCCTTCTTCGTTGCCCCGAGTAAGTGTTTTGCACTGCACTTCACCGCACCGCATTGAACCGCACCGTGCCATGCACGCACTTCCTCCCCTCCCATCCCCCCCAATCCGTGCTTTCCCTTTACCCAATGTCTATCTCCCCAT